AAACAAATAGGCCCAAACCTTTAAACAATGACTCTTAAATGTAATGTTCCCATACAAAGAAAATAGGCTCTAACGAGGTTCTTGCTCCGGAAATCACACGCACCAACAAACTCATTTTCATTAAAACTTGTAAAAAAAAAAGCCCCATGCAACGCACCAAAGAACACACTTAGCAGAGATATTAAACTAATAGTTTAAATGCTTATTCAAAGCAATAAGAATTAATCGAATCAACACTTCACCAGTCCTACCACCCGTGAGCATACAAACAATAGTCTTTTCTCAAAGACTCAAATTACACAACCCCTACCCCCCCCCCTCCTATACATACCCACTCTCTCTCTCTCTCTCTCTCTCTCTCTCTCTCTCTCTCTCTCTCTCTCTCTCTCTCTCTCGTTTTTTCCTTCTCGCTTTCATTCTCTCTATACTTAGATATTGATAGAGATAGAGATATTATGTATATAATATACGTACATTCATCTATCATTCCATGTATGTCTTCCTATTTATCTTTCTTTCTATTTATCACTCAGCGTACTAGGAGAAAATGAGCCATCCATACCGAAGGCCCCACCGCTTGGTTTACACTGAGATTAACAACTCAAGGAAAGTCTTCTAAAGATCAGTTAGGCGTACGGAAACCAAGCCTTCACAAACCTCAGCTTTTTCTAAAAATCTAATAATGGGGTATACACTTCTATCCGTAGATTAGTCGGAGGTTTTAGTGTAGGCAGGTGCGATACAATAATAGATCAGGTGATTGGGCGATCCATGACAACAATAAGCAAGGTCTCCACAACAAATCGATAATTTGTTGATAAGAACGGTGTAGTGTCACCGGCTTCTAAGGTGTAGCAGTATGGTTCTTCGCTACCGCGTGTAGAAAACTGAAGTGTGATTTCCTGGAAGGGGTATTATTTTGGTTGAGTACAATGGTGTCCCCGTAAACCGAAAATGGTTTATCCAGAAACAGAAGTTAACAGAAAGAAAATGATATCCCTTGTTTTGTTTTATTGTTGTTGGGTGTTTCCCTGTTTATATAATAATAATAATAATATCTTTAAACCAAAAACCCGGCCAAACCGAAGAAAATCCAGCGATCTCGCAGCTTTTGGTTAAAACCGACCCCACTGTATCGCCGTATTTCTGCTTGGATATTGTATCCTTCTGAGACTGGGTGGGCCCTGAAAGGCATAGCAGAAGCTGCCCATCTCTTAGGATTTGTCTAAAGTTGATTAGGTAGTATAAAATAGTGCCTATTAAACAAAATATCTCCAAAAAATACAGGTGCTAACACTGATTTACTGCAATCGAATGTAGTCTACGGGCTTCTATTAGTTTCGTTTTGTAACACGTTTTCAACTAAATATAATTTTTAATTAACGATGTAACAGATATACAATGTGTGCGTTTGTGTGTGTGTATGTGTGTGTGCGTGCGTGTTTGTGTGTGTGTGTGTGTGTGTGTGTGTGTGTGTGTGTGTGTGTGTGTGTGTGTGTGAGTGTCTGCATTTGTGTATGTACACGTGTGAGCGTTTGTATGTGTGGGTTTTTTTAAGTGTAGGCGCGTGTGCGTTCTTGATTATTAAGAACCGTTCAATGCATATTTCTCGTGTTGAAGTTTTAAGACAGCCAAATGATTTTTACTATAGCTTTTAGAGTGCTTATTGATTCCCTCTGTGCAGAAAACAATCTCCTGCAAGTATGCCCCAGATTCAATCATTAAATATTAAAGTATGACATGAACATAATTTCGAGTTAAGAGAAAGAGCAGAGACATGGTAACAGTAACGGCCAAATAGTACAAGGGAAAAGCAAGGTAGATATAAATCAGGGAGGAAAAAAACAACAAAAAACTACCACCAACAACAACACCCCCCCCCCCACACACACACACAAGATCAAGACCGTCCAATAGGGCTCCTCAACTACTCATCTATTCTTGTACAAGTAAACGTTTTATATACTTGGAAATAGGTGAACGGTGTACTATTCTTGGCAAATGTTAATATCATACAAATCAGATACATGGCCAGAAAAGTTCAACCAATACAAATTGAGACCCCCTAACACTGCCAAATGGATAAAGACTTAGCGCTAAAGGTAAAGTACACGTACCTTCTCCCTCGATTGATTCTGAATTGTTTGGCCTAGTGGACAAGTTACAGAGTCGCCACGAGGTAACAGTAGAGTTTTACGCTTTGTCTTCATCATCGTTTCCCTGATCTTTCCCCGTTATAAATGTGTCTAGGTTCCCTTAGTAGGTAGCTCTGGGCATACCTCGGCCTCTGGGCGCGGTTCGTCCATAGAGCACGGTCGTGCAGTGCCGCCCAATATTTTTAATGTTCTATTACGTAACACATCCACAATAATAAAATAAAATAAGCCAGAAACAAACACTAGCCAAAAATTATATAAAAACAAGGTCCACACTGGCGCCAGAACTGTCATTTCTGTGTCTTTAGCGCTGTAAAACATCTACTATGCCATGCCAAAGTCCACGCGCTTTAGCTAAACATAATAGGGTATTCAACCGTGTAACCTGACCTATAAATCGCTGTTGGGGATAACCCAAGCGATGACGACACTCATAGTGAGTTTGGCGGTACATTAATATTAATAAGACCGCACATCTCAAATGTGCTCCTGCCGAACAGTGCCGAAACATAGGCCACAGTAGGCAGTCTAAAAGTAAACGCCATAGACCGTA